AATGGAATAGAAATTATCTCAGCAGTTAACTATTTTTTAAAAGCCAAAATGCAACCACAGTGTTGGACAAGTTTGAATACTTCAAGAATTTGGCAAGTCTAATTGAGGATGTGTAGGTTTAAGGCTCCAAGTTTTACACTCAGAATTGTCCCACAGGACAATAGCTTAATTGATTAGCTAAGCAGTGTTAACTTGGACTCAGTAGAAACAAGACATGCAATTACTAAGCAGTACCAAATAAGAACTAGACAAGATATATCTGGATATGGTCAGTGGAACAAGAACAATCCCTGTAGATAAAATAAAGGGTTCAGTTCAGAATTCCTTGAAGGTTACCGCAATCGAGAAGCACCTGATGAAGGCCATAGTATACAACAGTTGAAACATTGTGATAATGACACAGATGAAGAGAATGGATCACAGGTAATATGATAACACATCATCCCAAAAATTCAAACAGAAATTATTAAGTAATGTTTACTTTATTCTGAACAAAGAATCACACAAAAACTCTGAACATAGAAAACACAAAGCAAATTATCTCAAAGATCTTCCTATTTTGGGATATTTTTGGTTTTGGTCATCTCGTCTGCTGCTAAGTATCAAGTGATAGTAGACAAGCTGATTGGCGAACATTCTATATCAAATCTTTCAATCATCAAAAAAAATTCTTGAAAAAAGGAAATGGTGTTATAATCATTGTTGTAAAAACTAATTAAATTTGAGAGTTTAAACAAGAATTTCTGTTTATAATCAAGAAAATTCATAAATATCACTCGAAAATTTTATTAAGTTATTGATCCCATAAACTGAAATCATACTCTTCACCCTTTTCAATTATGACAATCTGCATGAATGTATAAGGCAGACTGTATTGTAGTAGGAAAGAAACTCAATATTTTTATTCAGCAATGAAATACTTCTTTTTCAGGATGGGATGGTAATATCTCTCCACAATATTCTACTTTTGTAGCTCTAAGTAATCTTTAGCCCCCTTACTATTCCTCTCAGACTCTGTTCTGCCATTTACACAAACTGAAGGCAAGAGAAACAGAAGAAATCAGTCAATAACCTACCTAACAAGCTTGTATAAACAGCAGAACAGGGTTTAGGAAAGATAGCAAAAGTCAAAACTTACTAAAAGCTAAAAAGGACAGGAAGGTGTGGAGAACTATGATCACCCATGTCTTGAAGGAACAAAGCACATAGAAAAAAATAGATTGTTTTCCTCTTGCCTTCAGCATGTCCTGTGAATATCAAATTCTCTAGGTCTTCTTTTCTCATTATCTATCACAGAAATTTCAACTGTTTCTTTTTGATTCTAAGTATTTTTTATGCATCACTTTTTTAAAACTTGTTGCTCAAATGCTTCATCCATGGTATCTTCAGCATCCTTCTGTAGAATCACATCTATGTTGCTTCAAGCCTCCTTTTCATCTGCAGGGTAACTTTAGAGTATTCACTGCCATATTGGAAGGATTGATATTACATAACAGTTCAGTATTATGAATGCTGGACAATGTTCACAGATAAAGAAGAAAATGGAGGTGATAGAAATGTGGCTCTACAGAAGAATGCTGAGAATACCAAGGACTGAACATACAAGTGATAACAAAGTTTTAGCAAAAAATGAAAAAAAAATGAGACTTACACATGGTACAGCAGAAACACCTTCCACATAATGGTAAAACATTAGCTAGATGGAGACACCATTGACACTTGCCTAAGTTCACTAGCACTACAGAGACAACAGTTTAAAATGCGGGAGGTATTTCTGCCGCACACTGTCCTTAACATCAGAAAGAGAGTGTTGAAATTTCTTGGGAATATGATGAGGAAAGAGCTTGGAAAATTAACACTCACAAGATATTTCCTCCTATCTTAATAGTAAGTCTGATCGTTTCAATATGGTCAAATTGGCAGCTGATCTCAAAAAATTACCTACAGTTTGTTGTTAAATGAAGTAAGGAGATTCTTGTTAATTTTAACACCTCAAAAATGAAATTGCTCTCTTTTAATCATCCAAGAGAACACACTTTACTTTCCATCCAGCATGGCTGATGTTAATCTCCTGGAAAGTGACTCTATGCTCCTTCTCAGATTAACATTTTCAACTGGCATGAAGAGGAAAGAGTGTATTGAATCAATTGCACCTAAGAAAGTTATATCACCTTTATCATGCTAGACAATTTTTCTCTCCAGAATCTATCTTACACATTTATAAGTCTACCATTTGTTGTGGTGCTCTTGCTATATATTTGGAGATTCTTGATAAAATCCAAAGAATTTGCAATCTTATTGGTCTTGACCTTGCTTCTCGGCTTCAGTCTATTTCCGACCACCATAATGTTGCTTCTGATGAACTTTCCCCTGTGGTTTCTAGACTTTATGAATTTGAGCACAGTACTAGATTGGCAGTTAGGTCTCATCATTTTACAGTTAAAATGTCTAGATATAACTGTAAGTTCTATGCTAACAGTTTCTTTTACTATTGCATTTTTTGCTTGTGAAACTCTCCTCCAGCTTCAAAAATTTAAATGCTATGTCAATTGTTATCTTCTGCTGTCTTAATTTTTGTCCTTTTATTATCCTCTCTCCTTAATAGTAGTTTTTCTCATATTCTCTAACACTCAGTAACCCCTTGCATCCTAGTGGCTTTGTCATGCTTGGGGTGAAATGATTAAAATATATATATATATACACTGAACAGCACATAACCTACCTACTGTGCTTGTGTACATTGATCACAGAACAGGGATTAGAAGGGATAAGAAAAGAGAAAATTTATTAAGAGCTACAAAGGACAGGAAATTATGGAGAGACATAATCACCAATGTCCTGAAGGGACATGGCATATAGAAAAATTTTTTCTTTCTTTTGATATTTTTTATTAGATTCTGAAAGGTATCTTTGGTGATTCACACATGGAAAGGAAATTACAAGAACTCCTACAGAAGGTAGTGAAAGAAAGCAAGAAAGACTAAACATAAATTGCAAATAGACAGAATTGCATGGTTGTTAGTAAAAGGAACATCTTAACAGGCAAATTACAAATTGAAAATACCAAAATCAAACAAGTACAACAATTCAGATATTTGGAAAGTGTTTTAAGAGAGGATTAAAAGTACAACACTGAAATCTGAATGTATATTGGGATAGCCAAAGTTGCATTTCAAAAGCTAAGCAGAGTATTAAGAAACAAAAAATTCACTAGAAACAAAGAAAAGAGTACTGAACTGACAAGTACTATCAGTTCTCCTATATGGCAGTGAATGCTGGACAATCATGTCATAGATGAAGAAGAGACTTGAAGCAACAGAAATGTGGTTCTGCAGAAGGATGTTGAGGATGCCATGGACTGAACATGTGAGCCACAACAAAGTTTTAGAGAAAACTGGATCAAAAAGTAAATTTATACTTAATATCAAGAACAGACAGTTGAAATTTCTAAGGCATATAATAAGGAAAGAGGACTAGGAAATTTTAATAGTCACAGGACATATTGAAGGCAAATAAAACAGTGAGAAACAGAACAGGTGGGCACGTACCTGATAAAATTATGAGAATGGATGACAGAACAGAGAGTGGAAGGGATGATACTCTTAGGACAGATTGAAGGCAAGATGGACAGAAGAGAAAACAATGCATAACCTACTTAGTGAGCTTGAATAAATGGATAGCAGAATAAGGTTTAGGAAAGATACCAAAAAAGAATTTATTAAGAGCTACAATGGACAGAAAATTGTGGAGAGCCATGATCCCCTACATCTTGACAGAAAATGACACATACAAGAACATTTTCCTCTCTTTTAATATTTCTATATTTTGGAAGGCATCTTTCACAATTCTAATGTGTCTTCAGAGTTCCATATCACCTTTTCTGTCATCTTTTCTAACATTTCTCGGATATTTAAATTTATGTCCTTAATTCTGACATTTCCAATTCTTTGATCACATTATCCCTCATTCTAATGATCATATATTTAGTCTTATAACTGATGGTTAGTCCTAGTTGCTTTCATTTCCAGGTGAATAAGTTACTAAACAGAGTAAAAGAACGTGAAAGATTTTCTCTTTGCCTATACTCTGAAGGAATATTTTATTTATGGCTCTCTACAGCTTTCTATTTTTTGTTGCTATCAGCAATACACTTTTTTTCTTTGTGTCACTTTCTGCATCCCTTTACTCCAATATAGCCTGTGCATGTTAAATTCTCTAAGCATTCTTTCCTCATTATGACCCAAACGTGTAGTTCCTATTTTTTGTTAAATTTCACATTTGTTACATTTTATATCTATAATTTTCTCAACATTCGTTGGTAGAAATGTATCTTAATTGGCTCAAATCTTTTTTAATCTGTGAAGAAATCTTTTAGATTAAACATAAGATAGCAATCTGACACTCTCTTTTTTTTTTTTTTTTTTTTTTTTTTCTTCTGATGTCCAAAAACCCTATTGAAAAGTATCTTTCCCTCTTCTTGTGTGTCTTTGAAGTTAAATGTCAGACTTTCCATTCTTCATTATTACACTGTTTTACTTACCACCTTACATTCTATCATCTTACAATTAAATGGTGAGTCCTTTCTTCTCACTGGAGAGTAATTGGTCATGGATAATTATAATTGGCAAATATGTCCAACAAACAGAATTGACAAAGAAACCAAGAAAAGTAAGAGAAAGTACAGGGCAAAATAATATTATGCAAACAATATATATGTATGCAAGACAAAAGTAGTCAAAGCAACAGTAATAAGGCCAAATGTTCACAAAATAAGAATGATGTTCACATGCAAAAAGGATACATGTGATTGTAGTGTTCTGACTTCAAGACAAGAAAAAACAGAAATATGGCAGAGACTGAGAAGTGGCTCACTGCTGGTTAGAAATAAATCCCAGCATGCATCTGTAGGATTTGTCTATAAATTTGAGGAGGGGATGTATTAAGTGATCATTATATTTGGATTGGAACCAAGATCATTTTCCTTGGCTGCAGATCTTATAACCATATCACATTGAAACATTAGTTCTCATACAATCACTAAAGTTAAGTAATGTCAAGCCTGGTCAGTACCTAGATGGGTGACCGCTTAGGAATATCAGGTGCTGTAAGCCAGGATGTATGGGTGCTGTAATGGATAATGGCTCGGAATTAGAAATCAGAAAACTTAGTTCCAATTCCAGTGAGATCTGTTATATTGTCTTACTACAAATACCATCAGGAAAGGTATGAATTCACCTCTTTTTCCCCCCAGCTATGGGTTAATTAATAAAACTTGTATCAGTAAACCATTATTCTCTAAAAAAATTCTTACATTCTTATATTAAATATTTTCTGCCTTTAAATAACTTGCAAAAGGTTGATAAGCAATAAAAAACAAATCGATTAAACTTTGAGTACATTGTCTAACAGCTCTATCAGTTTCCTTGAAGAAGCACAATTTCAAAGAAATTGAAATGTTTTAAGTTTTGAAAAATGGTGTTTGGGAGAAAATACTGCAGCAGGTGAGGAAAGGTAGCAAGCAGGAAGTGATAAAATAATGTATATTGTCGAATAGACACATGTAAGTGTAGTGTGTAATGGATTGCTATTATTTTTAATTTAAATCATTTCACCCCATGCAAGGTGATAATGTCACTAAAACACAAGGAGTTAGTGGAAGAGAATGAGAAGACTTTAGTGAGGAGAAAGGACAATAAAAGAATAGGGTTCAGGAACACAAGATGCTGATTGTAGATGGCAGGGAAACAAGAAGTTGGAAGAGAGTTCCATAGGTGTGAAAAACAATTAGAATAAAACTTAAGGTCTGTACTAATCCTTCAACATCTGCCTATATTTCTGAGATGAGGTATTGTAACTATTTATACTATTCAGACACTTGTCCTCTTCTTTATTGTCACATTTATGATGTTTCAGCCATTGTATACTTCAGCCTTCTTCTTGAAATATGGCAAAAAATGATTACTGAGAAATTAGGTTTATAAGTCCTAAAAATTCACTCACTAGTGTTTTAAGAGCAGATGTGCATGAAGAGGAGGGGTCCTGAGAATTTTAAATTCAATTTTGTTTTCATAGTGTCAGGTGTCCAGAAATTGATGTCGCTTTCTTTCAGCAATATGTCTAGTCTCACCGAAGCCTAGAAGGGCAGTGGTCCCCCAAGTCCACTTGCATGGTTTTTAACAGGTAGCGTTGTTCTCTCATGCAAATAAGCCTGCTGCATAAAAATGGCAGCAGGCGTATGAACGCGCAACCGACTCTCAGAGAATGGTTCGACACGCGAGGCAGCAAATTCGTTTTACTCCTGGTAAGTCACTGTCACGTCTATTACACTCCCCCCCTGATCGTATGATCACATAAATGACAGTGAGGGGCTGGTTGTTTCACCCTTGCACTCCTTCGCGGTGGTATAACCATGTCTTCCTCCCCGGCTGAATCGTCAGATGTGTCCTGGTCTGAATCATATTCCGGGGGATCAATAAGAATCAAGTCTACTTCTTCCTCGCTCTCAGATGGGGTGTCGCTGCTGCTTGCACTGAAGCTTGGTTCTTGCCATTCATGACTCCCTGATGTTGTGTCACCGCCATCATCCGCTGGTAACAATGAAGTGAGCCGTCGACGTATATCTCCCACGTGCCGCGGTATCCCGTCGAATACTACCGACTGTGGACTGTTTATTCCCGTGACACGACCTTTCACAAACTTTGACGTGCAGCGTCCGTGTGGATTTTTTACCCAGACTGCGTCTCCTTCTTTATACCGAGTCGAAGTCGCCTGGTTAGGCGAGAGCACAACGTCAATTGCTTTTATTCGAATTTTGTACAAATGCAGAAGATTGGCTGGCACAGAAGAGGCAGACACGTCATCCCTGGGTGTGGTGTTATACCAATACATGGCCTCCATAATAGGGCAGCTCTTTCGCGCAGCAATCCGTTTGATTGTCCGATGACACCTCTCTACAATACCATTTCCAGATGGTTTTATGCAGCAGCAGCGGTCGGAATCGGACGCCCCATTCTTCCATGAATTGTTTGAATTGTTTGGAATGCAGTGTCATTATCAGCCAGGATCTCCACTGGGGCACCACGTTCGAAAAACACCGACTCCAATTGCCGGATTACATGTACAGCGTCTTGCCGAACTAGATGCCGCCAGATCGAAAACTGTGGGGGGCCGCAATCGATCAGTCAAAAAATGGCGACCGTTATAGTGCGTGATGTCCATGACTAGACGGCTCCAAGTTTCACGCACACTGAGCTCTCCCTTCTGCCATCGCACAGAAGCTGGATCTATTGACTGACACTCCGAACGACCGATCTCATTGCTGCTTTCGACACGGACGGGTTGATCCTACGTGCAAAATATAGTGTCCGTTTAACTCCAGGGTGCCCGCTATGTCAATGAATCTCAGTTAACTGAGCAGGGCTCGGGTTTACTACGGCAAAAGCACATACTGGTTGAACAGATTCGAGTTCCTTCACATTGTTGAACCACCTCTGGGGAACTCGAGTCAGCAAGTCAGCTCGGTTCTGGTCGGATCTAACTAGCGCTATGTCAAACGAAAGGTTGTACTCTTTCACAAGAGAAGTTAGCGTTTCAAGTAGTCGCCTTATGAGCATCTCGCTAGCGGCCTTGGTGGTCAGCCGAGACTTTCCCGTAAGGGCATAAGTCACCCAAATGGTACATGCAGAGGGAATCTGTGTTCACGTGTAATACCGTAGCCTGCCATTTTAGCGCGAGGTTGATTCCTTTTAGCACGGCATTTAGTTCAGCCACATTGATATGCTGGGTGTTTTTTATCGGCCGTAGCCAGCATGCGTCCTCGATGATGGCTCCCTTATCCTCGAGCGCTACTCCTACAGCCAGCGAACTCGCGTCCACCCACACGTCTAGATCCTTCGTAGTCACGCACCATTCTCTCTGTGCAGGATCCAGTTACTGTGCTCAGGCGAAGGTGTCCGTTATCATACGTTCCAGGGGAGCATCACAAATTTTGTCGTCCCAATTTTGCGTTACGGCAGTGGCTCGACGTTTGATAAAGCCTGTCGCCACTTGCAGCCATCCACACACGGGGAAGTGTCCCACCAGCTGGCCCACACGGAGAAAATACCTCTCCGTGTCATATTCATAGGGCCGTTTAACATTCTACTTCCTCGTCGCCATCGCAGTCGACCCTGTTCCTTCCATACTTCTAGCCCTAGCACCCTGGCCCCATCCTGTAACTTCTCTGGATCCTTGCTTGTCAGTCCGTAGAGCTCGAGATGTTTCCTCACAGATTCCGCCGACGCCACATCCTCGTTGATATATATAGCGTCAATATATGCCGACGTTGCTCTATTTATAGTTTCATTCTGTGCTAACACAGCCTTGAGCACAACTCGCATTATCAGGGGCGCTACATTCAGGCCGAACCCCAGCCTGTTCAAACAATATCGCTTCCCTTTAAACATAACTGTTTGGTATGGCCACAGAGATTTTTCAACACGGATCTGTAGGTATGCTTTCCTGAGGTCCAGTCTCGCAGTTTTTCTGTGCAAACATCCACGGCACCTGTGAATGTGTCAACGTAGGTATTCAGTTCCCGGTAGTCCATTACAGGACGCACCTTATGCTTGTTGATCTGCAGCACGGCCATCAGCGGTATCAGTCCCTTGGGCGGGCCAAACTCCTTGTCACTGTACAGCACCAACCAACCATTGTCCATCCATGTTTGCAATTCATGCTCGTACTCCTCTCTCATTTCGCTGGATACCGGATATTCAGAGATCCGATTCTGCAGTTTCCCTCGTGCATGACCTGCCGACCACTTCCAGGCTGTGACCCAAACTCCCTGCCGTTCATTGAATTTCTCACTGAAATCGGCTTTGTTGATACGAATCGCTGCACAGACTGACCGTGGTTTTTCAAACTCCACGCTTCCATGCTGCGTGATGCGAACTCCACCCAGAGCCTTAATGGCGTAGATGCCAAGCAACAGGTCGAAATCCAGGGGATTCCCTCCCATAACCAGCACATCGATTGTAGCAGTATTACCAGTTGATGTGCGAATTCTGACGGTGCCCCTTCCACAGCAAGCCTGCGTAGCTCCGGTTAATGTAGATACCGCCATACTCTGCCTCGACCAAGACCGACATAAACTCGCGCTCAAGATTGACCGTGAGCACCCAGAGTCAAGGAGAGCCGAGCATGGTGTGCCGTCAACACAACAGTAATGATGGGTAGCACCGAGTTTACTTGCTGTTTGGGGAGTGGACCGGCGCTGAAGTCTCGTCCCCACCTCCGTTTCCCGGACAATTTTTGGCCAGATGACCGGTCTTGTTGCATCGATAGTAACGCGCGTTAGTTGCATTTTGCCTCTTCACGCAGTCCCTCGCGAAGTGATTGGGCCCATTACATTCATAGCATGTGACAAGTGGGCCCATGTCTGGGGAAGATCGAGGAGTCTGGGAGGGCTGCACCGCAGCGACGACTGGTTCCCTCTCTGCTGTCTCATCCTTTGATTGCCCGAGTTCGGGCCAATAGCTCCTCAAGAGACATATCATTCGCCCTGGCTGAGGACCGCAGGAGCCTTTTCACAGGATCAGGAAGCCCCCGCACGAACACGCACGCCATCGCACTGTCTGGCACTCCTCCAAAGAGGACGGACAGCTTCCGTAGATCTGCCAAATATACATCTACGGTCTCACCCGGACGCAATACACATGCCTCGAATTTTTCGTATGCCGTGAATTTATCAGGGGCAAATGCTGTCATCAATGCTCCCTTGATTCGAGCCACGTCCGATTTCTCTTCCGTAGATAGTTGCTGGTAAACCACGAATGTTCCCCTGGTTAGGCGAAGGGGGATGACACGATCAAGCCACTTCACTCCCGATAGGCCGCACACCAATTCCAACTTCTCGATCCATTCAACCACAGATCCAGTCCCGTCAAACTCGAGAATAATTTTTAAATCAAACCGGCCGTCCATATCTGCCGAAATAGCTTGTCAGGTGTCCAGAAATTGATGTCGCTTTCTTTCAGCAATATGTCTAGTCTCACCGAAGCCTAGAAGGGCAGTGGTCCCCCAAGTCCACTCGTCTGGTTTTTAACAGGTAGCATTGTTCTCTTGTGCAAA